GCTGGGTGGTTTCCAGTTTACCGCAGACACACAGAGAGGCTCCACTCTGGCTCGGAGCCTGGCCCGGGTCGGGTCTCTCCAGTCCCAGCTTCTCCCTCCCGACCGGAAAGTCCCGCCCAGCAGTGCAGCAGCATGTGCTCCGAGTGGGAGTCAGCTGGGCTGGACTTCAGGGCAGCCAGGACATTTGCCTGCGGTGGACGTTTTCCCGGAGGTTTCTTGGGAGTTGCCGAAGGTTGTTTCCCACTGGCTTCAGACGAGGCTTCCTGGGTGAGATTCTTCTTCCCTGGCCCCTCAGGATGCACGTGGTCCCGTCCCCCGCGTTGTCCCCTGCAGTGCCCGCCCCCCGGAACTCCATTCCCACACTCGGGACCCACCCAGATGCCAGCTGCCTGCAGAGCAGCACGCCCCCCACTTCCGGCCCTGATGGCAACACTCTGTCCCCACTCCATTTGGAATTGTTGTTTGTCGGAAATGCTGTTTTCCCACCCGCCTTCTTATTCCTGGAGGCAGAGGCGCGTCAGCTTCCGGGGCTCTGTCCCCGCGTCGCCCTGGCTTCTTTGGCAGCGCTGCCTCTCCGTCACTCGGACCGTCCTGAAAGGACAGTGTGGCTGTGCGGGCTGTGTGTGCACATCCTCGGGCTGGCGGCAGACAGTGGCCTTGGCCGGAGCATAGCCGTCACACTCTCCCTGGGACTGTGAGCCCTCGGCTGAGGGGTCGGGGGGCAGCTAGGATCGTGGCCACAGCTCCCGGAGGTGAGCCCCCCAGCCACCGGCTGTCTTCCTGAGCCTGCCCTCCACCCCCCTCCAGTCTCGCCATTCCTGACTTCCCTCCAGGCTCCTGTTGCTGGTGACCGCAGACCCAGCCCCAGGGCTCTCCTGTCCTTCCTGTCAGGGGTCCTTTCCCAGAGGCCAGAACCCTGGGCGGGTGGGCCTGTCCCGGGAGAGTCACATCGCTTGTTTAACGGGAAGACTCCTTTGGCTCCTGTGCGCACATGTGGGGCCTCTCTCCCCAAGGGCTACTGTGAGCCCGGGAAGCCGGGGTGGTGTCTCCTGCCCCAGAGAACAGCCCCCGTGCACCTGGCATGATCACCCATGCCCTCCTGAGGTTCTGCAGACTTTCTCCTCCGTCTCAGCTGAGTCTCCCACACGGAGCAGGCAGAAACCGAGTGGAGGCCTCCCGCGTTCCCAGTCCTGGGGCTGGTGCCCACCTGCCTCCTCAGCCTTCAGTTGCATGGGTGGCCGCAGGCGTCAGGGTTTGACGGCCACTGTGGTGGTGAATGTGCTGGTCAGAGGTCTCTGCATCCTCTACACCTCCGGCCAGATGCAGCCCAGCCTGTGTCCCTTCCCAGCTTGACTGAGGGACGGCAGAAAGCTGCGACCCCGAGCCCACACGTCCTGGGTTCCTGGTGCTTTGCAATGCCCCTGGTCCTGCCGCAGCCACCTCCTGGCTGGGCCCCGAGCCTACCCGGCAGCACTCACCTTCAGGGAGTGGGGAGCTCGGGAGAGGAGAGCAAACAGGTGTCAGTGGAGAGGGTGCTTCCTGACACGCGGTGGGCCCAGGCTCCTGCGGTCTCCCGCCTTGGCCATTCCATCCATCTGTGGGAGGACCTTGGCCTCTCTGCAGTCAGAGCAGCACTCTCAGGCCTCGGGATTGCAGCCACAGCCACTCCCTGGCTGGGAGCTCAGCTCACCTGGGTGCAGAGGAAGCTTTGACAGCAACGGTTGGTGTGGCTCATCTCAACCACCTCACAGCCCTCGCAGCCCTGCAGCCCCGTCCGGATCCCACCCAGCATCCCTCCTCCTGAGCCTACGCTAGGCTTCATCCTTCCCCAGGCCCCATGCCACCAGTAAGAACAGCCAGGCCAATGCAGACTACACCCCTTGGCCTCTGCCGGCACTGGGCATACTGCCCTGTGCTCGCCCAGCGTGCTGCCCCGGCCCCTGGAAGACCCTGTGTGGGCCTTGCAGCGGTCAGCCTGACCACAGGACCCTGCCCACCTTCTGTGATCCTTGTGTTTAGAACGAAACCTCTGTGGCTCTCGCATCTGGAACTGACACTGATATCTCCCCATCACAGGGCACACCTGGCCTCGGCCCAATGGACAGCTGGCTCCACACACCCTCCTCTGTCTATCCCAAGAGGGCATTGCAGACTTCTGGGTACAAATCTCTGCTCTACCACTTAGCATCTTCTTAACATCAGGCAAATCACTGAATTGTACTGTGCCTTGGTTTCCTCATCTGAACAATGGGTTCACATCGAGTGTGCACAGTTTTGTGGTTTAAATGTGCTCTTCCTCATCAAGCCCACGACTGTGATTCTGGCCAGTGCTTGGCAAGTGTGGGCCTCTGGTATGAAAGGGAAACTGGAGACCTTGTTCCACAGACGGGTGACCCGAGTCCGGGAAAGGCAGCGATTTGCTGCAGGTCCCACGACTTCACCGGTGACCTGGGCTCCTGCCTGGCTCACTGCAGCTTCGCTCCTCTCACCTGCCTGTGGCCCAGGTGGGCACCACCAGCCACCAGCTCAGCACAGCATTCACTGGGAGGTTCTCGTTTCACTGTTTTTGTATTATTCTGTTTGATTCACATCAAGCCTTTCAAGAGCCTCAGGGAGGAAGCCACAGAGATAATCACATCACTATAACTGAAAATTAGTGGACAGCTGACAGTTCTAAAAGAAAAATGAATTAAAGATTTCAGATGGGGACGAAGAATGTCTTCCCTTTGCAGGGCAGGTCCTGTACCCTCCCCACTCCACTGCCAGATCCTGCCACTGTGAATGAGCTTTGGCCCCTTCATGAGTTGGTCACTGCAAGCCTTGAGGGAGGCGAGGTTGTTGTGGATGCTGTGAGGAGCAGGCTACCGTGTCCTGGGAAGGGCCACACCTGTGATCGGAGCTCTGGGGACTGGACACATGCTCTGGGGGTGGAGGTAGCCCCAGACCTCCCAGAGTCCGGGTGGGCCTGGTCGACGGGGCAGCACTCTGATTTAATTGCCTTACAATCAGAAAACTGGAGGTTCAGCTTCCACTGGTTGGTTACCCAGTGTCAGATGTTGGCTCCAACTGTGGCCCTTCCAAGACTGCCTCCCCTTTTCCTCCCCTCCGTTTCAGCTTCTCAACCTTCATAGTCCACCTCTTCCAGGCAGCCCACGGTGACTAATCCAGCACATGGCTCCCACGCTCTGAAATCATGGCATCTGCACAGTCCTGACCACGAGGCCTGGTACCGAAAACTACTGTCCCAGTTGCCACTTGAGTAGACGCTGCTGGTGCCTGTGCACATCCCCATGGCCCTCCCGCTTCTGTGCATGCCAGCGGCTTCTTAATGCAGGAACTGGTGACTCCCTCCTGAGGGCAAATAAACGGCACTGAGGCACCATTTGGTAAACACGAGACCTGCCGCCATCAGAAGACCGACAATACCAAGTGCTGACAGAGACGCAGAGCGGCTGCGCCTCACACATCGCTCGCAGAAGTGTGAAACGCTTTGCACTTTTTTTTTTCAGTCTTGCTCTGTGGCCCAGGCTGGAGTGCAGGGACACAATCTCGGCTCACTGCAACCTCTGCCTCCCGGGTTCAAGCAATTATCCTGCTTCAGCCTCCTGAGAAGCTGGGATTACAGGCATGTGCCACCACCTCTGGCTAATTTTTGTATTTTTAGTAGAGACAGGGTTTTGCCATGTTGTCCAGGCTGGTCTTGAACTCCTGACCTCAGGTGATCTGCCTGCCGCAGCCTCCCAAAGTGCTGGGATTACAGGTGTGAGCCACCACATCCGGCCACTTAGCACGTTTTAATAACGTCCCATACACATCCAACACCCAGAAATTTCACTTCTAGGTAATTACTCAAGAGGAAGAAAAAATATGCTACAAAAAGCCCTTTCAAGGCAGCTTTATTCATGTTAACCAAAACGTAGAAACAACCCCTGTCCAAAGTGTGAACGGATGAAGTAACGTAGCGTGTTTTGCATGGCGCACTACTCGGCAATAAAAAGGAGCCAGTTATGGATGCATGCAACGTGGCTGAATCTCAGAACCTCGTGTTAAGGGAAAGAAGCCATCACCAAAGTGTATTTTGCACGACTGTATTTGTGTGATATTCCAGAACAGGCGAAACTAAGACACGGAGATGTCGGAATGAGAAGCGTGGCTGCCTCTGTTGGGAATATCTATAACTGACCGGGGTAGATGCCACCTGGGGTATGCATCTGTCAGGACTCGCCGAACTGTACGTTTTGCGGAGCGCGGCCTTCACCTCAGTACAAATGTTGATTCTCCACGGTCAGCCAGGTCAAGGAGGAATACGTGGCATGCACAGGAAAGCACAAAACCAAAACCAAAAATTACCTGCAATTAACCTCCCGCGGGTGGTCGCTTTTCCGGCTTTGCACCTTCCTGGTGCAGCCTCGGGTCCCACCATTGCACACCCGCGCCCTGGGGCATCTGCGTGGCAGGGGTGGGGCCCGCGGTCCTCTCAGCCGCGCCGCCTCCCGCCGGGGCCCAAAGGCTCGGCTGGTGGGAGACTCAGACCGAAGCGCGGGCGCACGGGCCCCAGGACGCACCCCCGCCCCCGTGCCAGTCCCCGGTCGCCCGCTGCCCACTGCCCGTGGCGCTCGCCTCCCTGCCTGTCGCCCGCTGCCCCCGGTCCTGCTACCCCCGTTCCCCTGCCGGTCCCCGGCTGCCCCGGCCCCCGTTGTCGGCCCCGGAGAACGCGCCATCCCGGAACCACCCCAGCTTCCTCCCGCGGACGCACGGACGCATCTCCCGCCCGGCCGCCGAAGGCTGCCCTCCCCCGCCGCCGCCACCTCAGCTGCGCTCCGGGGCCCCGGGAGGGGTTGGACGGCGCGGCGGCGCGTCTCCACGGCGACCGGGCGGCGGCGCGTCTCCACGGCGACCGGGCGGCGGCGCGTCTCCACGGCGACCGGGCGGCGGCGCGCCTCGGGGGCTGGGCCTGCGGCCTGAGGCGGAAGTCCCACCCCCGCCGGCTCCCGCGAGACCTTGCGAGCGCGACGTAGCCGGAAGCTGGTGGCGGCTGGTGGGCGCCCGGGCGCGTCCCCGTTGCAGTGCGGCGGCCCGACCCCGGCTCTGGCCTGACCCCGGCGGCCCTGTCCGCCTCCTGCCAGGTAAGGCCCCGGCTCCCGCGGCGTTGGCCCCGGCGTTCGCGGGCAGACCTCCCCGCCGCGGCCGCCCCCGCCCGGACCCCGGACCCCGCTCCGCCCCGAGGCCGCTGCCCAGAGCTCGGCGGCGCGCAGCCCGCGGTCCCCCATCCCCTCGGCGCTGGACGCCCCGGTGCCGCCGCCCCCGCGCCCCCTTCCCTCCGAGGCTGCCCTCCACCCGCGCCCCGGGCCTGGGAGCCCCCGCCGGTTACGCGAGTCCGGAGGGCCCCTGCCCGCCCACGTCGCCGCCCAGGGCGCCAGCAGGACCCGGCCGCGCCCCCTTCAGCCCCCTCCTCCCGAGCTGCTCAGGACCCAGGACCGGGCCTGGGCTCCACCCCGTGGGAGGTGGGGGTTCTGCCCGCTGTCATCAGAAGCGGGGTGCCGCTGAGCCCGGTCTGGTCAGAAACGGCGGCCTCAGCTCGCCGGGTTCCTCCTACCCGTTGCCGCGGATGCCTGTCTTAGGGGGGCAGAAGACACCAGGAAGGGGCTTTTGAAACTCTTTCCCTTTTGTGGGTTTGGAAGAACTGAGCTTCCTGTCTGCTCTTTTAAACGCCTTGATCCCGGGCCCCCAGGTCTAGGAAGCAAGTCTGCTGGTTTCCTGCAGGTCTCACTAATGCTCCTGCATGCTCCGCTAATTTTAGCACCAAAGTTTGGCTCCGAAGTGGCCCAGCGCATCGAAGCTGTGAGCTTCGCTCAGGCGCCCCTCAGAGGCCATCTGTCCTTGAGAAAGGGCCGCTGTTCCTGGCCGTGGGTCCTCGGGTGCTTCGCACCCAGCCTTTCTGCTTGTCGCTGTGTTACAGCCCTGGGGCCTGAGCAGTGTTCTTCAGTGTCCGTTTCGATCTCACCGATTGCGAGTGTTCCAGCTTAACGGATCCTGAGTTTTGAGGTCTCAGCGGCTTCCGAGCTAATACAAAGAGTCCTCGTTGGGTTTGACGTTTACTGAAGGTATGTGCATTTGCAGGAGGCGGTATAGTTTTACATCTTGGTTTCAGGTGTTAAAGGTTCCTCGGTTATTTCTCAAGGTAAACCATATTTGTACTTTTGAAGGTTGGGAGGTATTTGCTTTTGTGTTATTAACTTTAACGTCAGGGAACTGGCGCTCATGAATACCCAGAATTAGTCACATAGAGGAGTTACTTCTAAATCCAAGGAAAGTCCTTTATTTTTTTGCACCTTTTCTCCCTGCCGTAGTCCTGTGAGTATCCTGTGTATTTTACAGTTAAAAATTCAAGGAGCGTCTCATGGTTCTGAGTTTTGTTTGCCCGTGTCTGTTGGCCAATATGTGAGCCGCTGAGAGCAGGCATGGTGCTGTGGGAGGGAGCGAGGGCCTCCGCATGGGCCATGGCTTCTGCGTGTGCCTGCCGTGAGAAGAGTGTGTCCCAACGCCCTTGTAAGCTCAGCCCTGCTACCCTCGGCGCCAGGACCTCTCCAACCCGGCTTGGCCCCTTTCCACCTTCAGTGCTGTGTTCGGGTGGACACTCAGTTTGATGACAGTGTTGCCTCAATGAGTCATGCTGGGGTCCAAGTCCATGCGGTCAGGAGTAAGTGTTCAGACCTGCCTCATGCTCTGTGGCTCCTGGGCGCTCTCACACAAGGCACAGAGAATCATGGAGTAGAAGGCAGCCCAGGGTGAACTTTTGGCTTTGTTTTGATGAACTGCAGAAAACAGATATTTATTTCCTGACTTTGAATGGGTTTAGAGTAAGTGCTGGTGAGTGATAGGAGTCATGGGCCTCAAAATCCAGGAACTCTGGCTGTGCGGGGAGTTGGGACCCCCCCCCACCCCGTGAATACCTTGTTTCTGCATACTTATGATGAGAAATGAAATAGAGGACAGAGGTTTTTCTTTCTTTCTTTCTTTTTTTAAACTTCACCTCAACATAAATTCCCACCTACACCGTGAGTAGGAAAGCTGGTCTACACGGTCCTCTTAAATACAGTGAAGGAGGAAAGGGCAGCCGTGCACACGTGTGGTTTCCTGTGGCTTACACAGTGCTGTGTGTTCTCTGTGTAGTGAGGGGTAGAGGGAACAGCACACAGCTCCGTTCATGTCAAGAGGCGGGTGAGGCTCAGACAGCATGCTGAGGCGTGGGCTGGTGGGGGTGCAGGCCTGCTGCCTCCAGGCTGGACTGTGCAGCCCGCCCAGCGGTGGTGATGCATGGCCACTAGGTCATTCTCGCTGGACGCTGGGGTTGGTACCACCCTTCCTCCAGCTTTGAGTCTCAACTATATCGGTTTCCCGGCCCTGAATTAGATGGGCCACCAGTGAGAGTTGTACTTGTTAGCTAGGAGAGCTGCAGAGACATCCGTAGGTTTTCTCTTCAGCCTGAGCCTGGTTGCTGCTATCCACTGGGGTCCCTGTGAGCCGCCATGGCGGGGCTGATGGTCTGAGCCACTCTCTTTGTCCTGCTGCAGCCACACTGTTGCCCCCAGGCCTCGGAATGGCCCCGGAAGGACCCACCTGTAGGTCCCCCAGCAGGCCGGCCGTTCCCACACTCTGGGCAGGGGCACTGCTTCTGCCCCGCACTGGGGAGGTGGCCTGGGCTCCCTGACCGTGATCAGCCCAAGTGTGGAGTGTCACCTTTTAGGAGGAAAGTCGAATTTAGCAGCCTATCTGTGTGTGTTTGTAAAGATCACCCTTACTGTGAATTTCACCATTAGAAGACAGGGCTTTTTGTAAATGATGCAGTCTTGGTGGGGAATAAGCAAAGTGGCGCCAGTAATTACATGATCTTCCTGATCCTCGCCCTGGCCACAGCCTCCTGGGGTGTGGGGAGCAGAGTCCTTTGGAAAGCGGTCCCCACGGAACCCTGCAGCCAGCGGCCCTGTGACCACGGCTTCCGAGCAGCTCAGTAGAGCTGCCCCTCAGGCTTTCTGCTGTGTGGTGTTTTTGGACAGACGCTGTTTTCTTTTTTGTGGAGCAGCCTGTGTGTAAGTTTAAAGCGCTTGTTATCCTCCTTTGCAGCATCATGGCCAGCCCAAGAACCAGGAAGGTTCTTAAAGAAATCAGGGTGCAGGATGAGAACAACGTAAGTCTCTGCCCCCGCATGCCGTGGTCTGGGTCAGCGAGTCCTGGGAAATTGGGCCCTAAGCCTGTGGTTCTGGGGCCCTCCTTGAGTGGATGATGGTTGGCGTGGCTCTGGATGTACGTGGCTTGTGCTGGCCGGTGGCGTGGGTGGGTGGCTCTTAGAGTGGTGGCCATTTCTAGCACTCATCAGTGCTGGCTGTTGAGGGTGGGGACTCCTGGCTGTTGGGGTGGACGCTGGTCCGCATTTCTCAGGTCATACCCCCCTAAGGACAGGTCTGCCTCATGTCTGAATGTTTTATTACACGGGAGGCTCTTGCCCCTCACGCCTGGCCCCACCCACGCCCTCTGGCCACCCTGGACAGCCATGTTGGGCTCATCTGCATTTGCTCTTCTGCACTCGTTCCTTGGGGCCACCTGTCGGGTGTCCGGTCCGGGGCTCTGCCCTGAGCCACCTGGTGAATCCCTGTGGCCCTTTACAGGTTTGTTTTGAGTGTGGCGCATTCAATCCTCAGTGGGTCAGTGTGACCTACGGCATCTGGATCTGCCTGGAGTGCTCGGGGCGACACCGTGGGCTCGGGGTGCACCTCAGGTCAGTGTCTTGCCGCTCCAGCTCTGCGGAGAGCCTGCGGGCAACCCCTCGTCTGTTCTGACACTGGAGGTGCTGACGCCAGGGAAGCTCGGGGCCGCCTCCCACTGCATGGCCAGTGTCACCTGCAGTGATGCCACCCGCAGGGTTCCAGCCACTGGCCACTCAGCCTCCGCCCCGCTGCTGCTTGCTGTGTCTAGTACAAAGCGTGTTGCTGGGTGGAGGGGCGTCCCTGGGTATCCCCGGTGCTGAGTGATTTGCCCGATGCTCTGGTTTCCAGCTTTGTACCCTGGGTATCCCCGGTGCTGAGTGATTTGCCCGATGCTTTGGTTTCCAGCTTTGTACGCTCCGTTACTATGGACAAGTGGAAGGACCTTGAGCTTGAGAAGATGAAAGTGGGCGGGAACGCCAAGTTCCGAGAGTTCCTGGAGTCGCAGGAGGATTACGATCCCTGCTGGTCCTTGCAGGAGAAGTACAGCAGCAGAGCCGCGGCCCTCTTCAGGGATAAGGTGGGGCGGCTCGCTCTCCCCCGTGGTGCGGGCCTGCTCCGCCGTCCTGGCAGCCAGACCCTGGTCTTTAGTGGTTCTGGAGCTGGTTCTTTTGCTGGCTCTGGCACACCCCCTGGGCACGCACAGTCCGGGACAGACAAGAATGTCATGATCCTTGCCACCCCAGAGCTGACACTTCCTGCCCAGATGGGAGGCACATGGCTTTAATCACCAGGGAAGGAGACATAAGGGCCATAGTCCTTTTTCCCCGCCTCCAGGGCAAAAAGGACAATGGCCCTTATTGGCTCTGTGACACGTTGGGCACAGTGTTTCTAAGAAGTGTGGAGGCCAAATAGGTGGGTCCCCTGAGTCTGAAGTTGGAGCTGCACCAGCTCTGTTGTTGATTGTAAAGTGAGCCCTGGCCTCGCATCCACACCTAGGCTGTGCGCCTGAGCAGGGGCCATTGAGGGGGGCCGGGAGGAGGTGCGGGTGTGCGTACTCCAGGCGCGCCATGGGGGCTGCGCTAGAGTGGACAGCACCCACGGGCGTCGCCAGACAGCTCTGTGCTCTCTGACACCCTGTGTCTTGTTGTCAGGTGGCCGCTCTGGCCGAAGGCAGAGAGTGGTCTCTGGAGTTGTCACCTGCCCAGAACTGGACCCCGCCTCAGCCCAGGACGCTGCCGTCCGTGGCGCACCGGTAGCTGCTCCTCTGGCCTCTCCTGGGGCCCAGTGCAGTTTCTGCTGGGCCCTGATCTTCGTAGCTTGGGTTCCCCCACGGCATCCCCCCCTTCTTTGCTGTTGTGACAGCTCATTCCCAGAAGTCAGAGGGAAAAACAGCTTTTTTAGATTGCCAAAACAGTACGAGCTTTTGGTAAAATTTCAACCCATAAAGCTGTCTCAAATAGTGCCCCAGGCAGGCTCCGCACGTCTTCCACACGTGCACACAGCCATGTGCCCCGTGGCGCTATGGGCGCTCACGTCTCCATCTGCTCATGGGACTGCTATGTCCCCCTCCCCAGAGTTACCCCTCTGTCTGTGGCGCTGGCCCCGCCACCCTTGAACCGACTCCTGTCATGGATGCGTCCCGCCTCCTGCTTCAGGGAGTGTCTGGGCAGGGTGCCTGTGCAGCGGGAGGTCTCCCCACCCCACTTGGAGCGCTGGGCCCCCGCCACGTCCAAGTGCTTCTGGCAGAAGGCTTTGCACTGTGGGCAGCCCCGGCTCAATTCCAGACCCTTAGCCCTCTTGTCCCGCCTCTCCCCAGTGCCTCCCGCTGACGGGGAGAGCGCAGAGCCCACTGTGGAGGCCTCTTGTGATGCCCATGAGGCTGGCATTGCCGGGGTTTCAGCACCTGAGACAGAGCTTGAGGCCATCCTGGCCTCAGGTGCTCTTGGGGGCCACATGAAGGCACTGCCCACGTAGGCCACATGGTTCTAGGGTGCTGCTGGGGTTACCTCAGACTCCACCCGGTCGTGATCTCACCCGCCTTCGATGCTTGGTTTTAGAGCCTCTGGCCAGCCGCACAATGTGACCGCCTCCTCAGACAAGGCTTTTGAAGACTGGCTGAATGATGACCTAGGCTCCTATCAAGGGTAAGCACTTGAGAGCTGGGGGCGGCTTGGGCAGGCCAGGCCCACAGGGCTCCGTCTGCTGGGCAGGGCTGCTCCCCTCGGGCCTCCCGTGTGCAGCGGCTGCAGAACCCATGCATGGGCCGTGCGGGGTCCACGTACAGCGAGCCGCGGCCGGTGTCAGCTGGGGGTCTCGGGTGTAGAGAAGAGCCAGCACTTAGAGGGAAAACAGCACGTTTCTACCTGGAATCCACCGGACCTGTCAATGAATTTCTGTCCCAGTCCTGTCATAAAGTTGCTTTGATCCTTTTTCCAGTACCCCTGTCACTGGGTTTGAGAACTTGCTGGGTCCCTCTGGTGACGTGGCAGGAGGGTGTTTTCAAATGAACAGAAAGTGCATCTCTGCTGCTGGGAGCCTCAGAAGGCAGCTCACATCCCCAGAGCCCAGCCTCGTCTCCGCTCAGGGCCCCACACCTTCACAGGGAGCCGGGTTCACGCCAGCATCTTCAGTCTCTTGTCTGCCTTGTTTCAGGACCCAAGGGAATCGCTACGTGGGCTTTGGGAACACACCACCACCTCAGAAGAAAGAAGACGACTTCCTCAACAATGCCATGTCTTCCCTGTACTCGGTGAGGACTTTCGGGCCTGCGGACCATGCCTCCCGTGGACAGACCCAGCTTGAGGGCACGGTGGCCGT